CCGCCCACCTGTCTGTTTCTCCATGTATTGCATCAGAGCGGAGAGGCAGCTCCCTCCCGCCCCCCTGCCAGACACGCCCGCACGCCCGCCCACCTGTTTGTGGCTCCCTGGACGGCAGAGCGGACAGCTGCAGCCAGGTAAGACATCCCCCGAAAATAAGACCTAGTGTCTTTTTTCGAGAAAAAAATAAAATAAGACACTGTCTTATTTTCGGGGAAACACGGTATCTATCTATCTATCTATCTATCTATCTATCTATCTATCTATCTATCTATCTATCTATCTATCTATCTATCTATGTACTGTGTCTATCTATCTATCTACCGTATTTTTCCGTCTATAAGACACCCCCATGTGCAAAATTCAGAAATCAATATTTTGTATCCAAAATCCAAGTCTTAAGCCTCTGCTCCAAGTTTGGCCATTTTGCTGGTTTTCCTCTCAAGGCCTTCTTCTTTTTGGGCATCTTAAGGAGTTGCTCTTCCTGTTTTCTTCACTGTCTGATCATACACTCAGTGGGAGGAGGTCCAAATTGTCTCTCTGCAGCTTTATTTCCATGCTCTTTTGCATAAATGATTACATCCAGTTTAAATTTTGCAGAGTAAGCCAGCCGCTTTACCGGTATTTTTTCATTTTCTGACATATTTATGGGGGCAGAATGCTCCAACATTACCACTCTGGGCACTTGCTACACGCTCTCCCCAGCAACAGCTGACGTCAGGTACAAAAGATTTATGATTGGGGGAAAACTGTTATCTTGTCTCTGCAATCTAAAGTTTCACTCGTGGGGCTAGTTTGCAGTGGTATCAGCACTTTCGGCAGTTGAGCAACCGCGGCCCCCGTGTATAAGACGCCCCTCTATTTTTAGGTTTATTTGTCTATCTATCTATCTATCTATCTATCTATCTATCTATCTATATATCTATCTATCGGTCTATCTATCAATCTATCTATCCATGTATCTATCTATCTACGTAATCTTCAAGTTTTAATATAGATTGTTTCCTGCAGATAAACATCTTGCAAATAAAATGTTCCAATCATACCAGAGTATCAGATTTTTTTCTGGTAGGTTTTTCAATGGTAAAGGAAGCAGGATTGTACCTCTTTGTTCTTATCTTCATTATCTATATCATATCTATAACAGCCAATGTTTTTGTTATTGTTATAATCGCAAATGAGCGGCGCCTCCACAAGCCTATGTACTTCTTCATTGGTGCACTGTCCTTTCTGGAGATCTGGTATCCTTCAGTGACTGTCCCGAGGCTGCTGTGGGCTTTGTTCACTGAAGAACAGTCAATATCACCAATTGAATGTTTTACTCAGTTTTTCTTCCATTTCTCCTTTGGTGCCATTGAAAATTTTTTGCTGACTGTCATGGCACTTGACCGGTATGCGGCCATCTGCAATCCTCTACACTACTCAATTATTATGAGCCCCAATACTTGCATATTGCTGCTTTTAGGTTCCTGGCTATGTGGGTTTCTGATTGTAGTGATCCCCTGTTTTGAAATCTCACAGCTTTCTTTTTGTGGCTGTAACATAATTAATCACTATTACTGTGATTTTGCCCCATTGATCAAGTTGTCTTGTTCTGAGACCTCTCATGTTGAAAAGATGGTTTTCGTTTCCTCTTGCTTTGTAATATTGGGATGTTTTTTAATAATTATTATGTCTTATATTTGGATTATAAAGACAACTTTAAGTTTTTCTGTTTCATTTGGGAGAAGTAAGACATTTTCCACATGTGCTTCCCATCTAATAGTTGTTGTTGTTTTTTACACTACCACTATATTCATGTTTGTCAGACCCAGAACTGGAGACTTTTTACATTTAAATAAAATCATTTCTGTTATTCCATCTATAATAACTCCGCTCCTAAACCCTATAATCTACACCTTGAGGAACAAAGAGGTCAAAGAAGCCACGTGGAAAACAACCAGAAAATGGAAAGGTTATCATATATAAGCAAAAACATTTTTAAACATTGTTTTTTATTTTCACAGTGAACTTCCCATTATCTGGCATTCAAGCAACTGGCATTCTCAAGCAACTAGCGAAAAAATAGGGGACATAATATGTCCTCGATTTATTTTTTTGCCGGTGGCTTGTACTATTAACTCTCAAGCAACCAGAAACTACAGTTATCCAGCATCTACCGATCCCCTTGGGTGCAGGATAACTGGGAGTTTACTGTATTATTATTATTTTTATAATAATAATTAGTATTATTTTAAGCAAAATCAAAATATATTCTTTGAAATAAAACAAATAATACATATTTATTG